ATAAGAAGTGGGCAGCATTATCTCCCATAAATATAAACAAACTTGTTTCTCTTAGCAATTGGCTGAAGAAGTAGGACTGAGTGGACTTATAGGCTCCAAAGTTTTAAATTGTTTTGGTTTTGACTCCACTTATATATAAAAACTTCTGTATTTGTAAATTGTACTTTCATGATAAAGAGATTGTACTACAGTACTTGTATGAGGTGAATTGAAAAATACTATTTCTTGTTTCTTTTTTACAGTGCAAATATTTGTAACAAAAGTGAGCACTGTACACTTTGTATTCTGTGCTGTAATTGTAATAAATATTTGAAAATGTAGAACATCCAAAAATATTTATAATAAATTTAAAGTGGTATTCTATTAATGTTTAACAGTTCAATTAAAACTGCGATTAATTGTGACTACTTTTTTAATCTAGTTAATTTGTTTTGCATTAATCGCTTGCATTAACTGTGATTAATTGACAGCCCTAATTTAAATGGCAGTGTGTGGGTAGAGAAAGGAAATGGAAATCAAGACATCTGTGTTCTATTCCTTGCCCTGTCAGTGATTTGCTGTGTGACCTTGGGCAAATCACAAAACTTCTCTGCCTCAGTTTCCTGATCTGTTAACTGGAAATAATAATAATAAAAATCATACTTACTGTTGGAAGTGTTTGAAATTATCAGATAAAAGCAGCTATATAAAATATTCATTATTAAATAAATTCTGGAGAAATCAAAATAAAAAAAATTATAACGTTTATTTGGAGAAAATCACAAACAAAACCAAATAAAAAACTAAAATAAAACAGGACCAAGCAGTTATGTACAGGAAAGTTTCTTCAATGCTGAAATGGTTCAAAGTCAAAGAAGTGAGAAGAATGGGCAAGATGTCATTTCCTGTAAAACTCCTAAGCCTCATTTTCCATTGCCTTGCACCTATGTCAAGTGAGTGCAAAGTGGATGTAAAATACTACTTCTCTGTTTTCATAACATTTCACATTTGCGTTACATAGATGTAAATGATCATGCAAGATGCAAGGTAATTGAAAATAAGCCCTTTTGTGTATTTAACTTTTAAGTACACAGATCTTATATCCTTCAAATTATTATTATTATTATTTCCACAAAGTTTTAAACGTATTTACCTTTCCTGCCTATAATCTCCCCTTTCCAGCGATATAGAGCTCCCACTTCTGGCCTTGCAGGGTCGGGAAGTCTCAAACCTGGTTCTGGTGCAAGACAAAATATTTCCTACACCTCAAACCAGTGCAGATTACATCAGAAAATTCCACATATGGGGGGAAAGAAGGAAACATTTATCTGACAGTTTGTTTTTTAATATACAGTGGCTCTTCAAAGCTCCTCAAAGTTTTGAGAATTTGGTACGTTAGAAATAGCTTCAAAAAAAAGGATTTGTAGACTGAGTGCAGGTGAGGCCATGCAAAGATGCATGGTGAAGTATTTATCACATGAATATCATCACCTATGTTCATATGGTCTGTGTGGGGATGTGAGTCTATCTGAATACAATACAGTACATATATTTGCTTACTGTAAAAAGCATTATTCAAAATGTGCAATTTGTTTTCTTAATGTAAAATGGATATTTAGAGCGCAGCACTGGCTCACTGAAAAAGTCTCCCAGCAGGCCCTGATATGACAGAACAAAATGGTTTAAGAGAAATCATTACCATCAGTTGCATCAAAGATTCATTAACTCCAAATTCTTAAAATAGGCTTTAGCTCAGCAGACAATTGCAGACTGTCAAGCAAGTAAGAAGGAGTTTTAAAAGGCTGTAAGCAGGCTTAATTAATTTTCTTTCCTTTTTGGTTAAGGGAATTTATAAAAGTAAAAATTATATTTTTCAGAGATGTGTAATGAATAATACTTTGGGGCCCAATTATTTGTTTTAACAATCTGGGGACCTAATCCTACAAAGAGTTGTCCACACACATAGAGCCTGATCCAAAACCCACTGAAGGCCATGGTAGTCTATCCACTGACTTAATAGGTTTTGGCTTAGATCCATAGTTACTCTGTATAGAATCCCACTGCAGTCAGTGAGTACAGGAATAACTATAAATGTGTTTGTAACAATTTTCATGACCAGGCCACTGTATTATTATTGTAATTAAAATCATTTAAAACATCTAATTTTCTTTTCTCTCCTTAAGCTGTTCGTTTACATTTGATATTTCACTCAGCTTGGACAGTTTCACTTTCCACTTACAATAAATTTAATTTGCTAATTTCCCTTGACTAGTGCCTTGCTATTGTAATGATATTTCCAGTGAAGTTTCCTAAGGAAAAATAATGCCAGACTGAAAACGACAGAGGGAAATAAAGATTAATCCCATTAGAACATTGACTTTAAACAAAGGCAGAATTAAGGTTGTCTGGCGGTGACCGTGATTGAGTAGGGTTGCTCGGGGAGTGGATAGTGTGTTTGTGAGAGTCAGTGCAAGTGTGAGAAGGATGTAGGTATAGAACAGGGGTGAGCAAACTTTTTGGCCCAAGGGCCACGTCTGGGTATAGAAATTGTATGGCGGGCCATGAATGCTCACGAAATTGGGGTTGGGGTGTGGGATGGGGTGAGGGCTCTGGCTGAGGGTGCGGGCTCCAGGGTAGGGCCAGAAATGAGGAGTGCAAGATGCGGAAGGGGGCTCCAGGCTGGGGTGGGTGGGGTGCAGGGGGGAGGGCTCTGGCTGGGGGTGCAGGCTCTGGGGTGGGGCTGGGGATGACAGGTTTGGGGTGCAGGAGGGTACTCCGGACTGGGACTGAGGAGTTCAGAGGACAGAAGGGGGATCAGGGCTGGGGCAGGAGATTGGGGCTCGAGGGGGGGGTGGCTCAGAGGTGCAGGCTCTGGGCATCGCATACCTCAAGCAGCTCCCGGAAACAACGGCATGCCCCCCCGTCTGGCTGGGTAACAGCTCTCTGTGTACAGAGACTCCAAATCCTTTTACCTGTAAAGGGTTAAGAAGCTCGGGTAACCTGGCTGACACCTGACCCCAAGGACCAATAAGGGGACAAGATACTTTCAAATCTTGGGGGGGGAAAGGCTTTTGTGTGTGTCCTTTGTTTAAGGGGTTGTTCACTCTTGGGACTGAGAGGGACCAGACATCAATCCAGGTTCTCCCCATCTTTCGAAACAAGTCTCTCCTATTTCAAACTTGTAAGTAAAAAGCCAGGCAAGGCGTCTTAGATTTACTTTGTTTTCTCAACTTGTAAATGTACCTTTTACTAGAGTGTTTATCTTTGTTTTGCTGTACTTTGAACCTAAGACAGAGGGGGGTCCTCTGAGCTCTTTAAGTTTGATTACCCTGTAAAGTATTTTCCATACTGATTTTACAGAGATGATTTTTACCTTTTTCTTTAATTAAAAGCCTTCTTTTTTAAGAACCAGATTGATTTCTCCTTGTGTTAAGATCCAAGGGGGTTTGGATCTGTATTCACCAGGAGTTGGTGGGAGGAAGGAGGGGGGACGGTTAATTTCTCCTTGTTTTAAGATCCAAGGGGGTTTGGATCTGTGTTCACCAGGGAATTGGTGAAAGGGTTCTCAAGGCTTCCCAGGGAGGGGATTCTTGAGATGGTGGCAGCGGGACCAAAGCTAAGCTGGTAGTTAAGCTTAGAGGTTTTCATGCAGGCCCCTACATTTGTACCCTAAAGTTCAAAGTGGGGATACAGCCTTGACAGGAGTGCAAGATGCGGAAGGGGGCTCCAGGCTGGGGTGGGTGGGGTGCAGGGGGGAGGGCTCTGGCTGGGGGTGCAGGCTCTGGGGTGGGGCTGGGGATGACAGGTTTGGGGTGCAGGAGGGTACTCCGGACTGGGACTGAGGAGTTCAGAGGACAGAAGGGGGATCAGGGCTGGGGCAGGAGATTGGGGCTCGAGGGGGGGGGGGTGGCTCAGGGGTGCAGGCTCTGGGCATCGCATACCTCAAGCAGCTCCCGGAAACAACGGCATGCCCCCCCGTCTGGCTCCTACACGGAGGTGCAGCCAGGTGGCTCTGCTGCATGCTGCCCAGTCCGCACGCACCGCCCCTGCAGCTCCCATTGGCCACAGTTCCCAGCCAATCGGCGCTGTGGAGGCGGTGTCTTGGGGCGGGGGCAGCATGTGGAGCAGAGCCCCCTGGCTGCACCTATGCGTAGGAGCCGGAGAGGGGTCATGCCACTGCTTCCACAAGCTGCACGGAGTGGCCCCCGACCCTGCTCCCCTGCTGGAGCAGGGCAAGCCCTAGACCTCACTCCCCAGCAGGAGCTGGAGGATCAGATTAAAATGGCTGACAGGCCAGATACAGCCCGTGGGCCATAGCTTGCCCACCTCTGGTATAGAACCTTATATCCTGGGTTCAGTGGGTTTGAGTTTTTCATTATTATCTCTTACAACCTTTACTGGTCTTCACAAAGTGTTTTGGTGTTTGAATATTTATTAACCTTTGCAAAGTCTTCCTTGAAAGAGGGCCAAAAATCAACACGCAGGACCGTCCGCGCCGCCTTGGGATCCCGTGCAGTGCGGACAGAGGGGAGAACGCCCCCCGCGCGAACGGCGTGTGCCTGTGCCGACTCTGTGGCTCTGCTTTCGCGGAGGCTTCTCCCGCCGGGGAAAAGTTGGCCTTGGCGCCTCCCCCACAGCTGAGGGCGGAAAGGGGCAGGGCAGGGATGGGGACGAGGGACGGAAGACGAGGCTTTCCCCAGCACACAGACTACGTGGGGGGAACGCAATGGCCGGAACGAGCCAATCCCCCTCATTGTCTTTCCCACCTCCCGCCAGGGAACCCCATCGCCGCCCCGCCTGCACGTGGCTCCAGCGACACCCGGGGGGGTGGGCACCGGCCATCCCAGAGCCGGACCGCGGCGCGCCCCCGCCGGCAGACGTGCTCCGTCCTGCGGAGGCGCGGTGTGTACGTGCGTCCCGCTCGCCCCCTCCAGCCGCTCTTATGCAACAGCCCGGCCCGGCCCCGGTCTCTTCCCCCGGCTCCAGCCCGCCCCTCGCCCCGCCCTTGCGGCTCCCCTCCCTCTTCCCGCGGGGATGTTTCACTAGTTTGTTTTAATTCCCGGGACCCAAGATGGAGGCTGCGCTGGGGCCTGGCGGGCTCCTGCTGCTCCTCCTCGTCCTGGGGCGGCTCGGCCCCGCGGCTCCGCAGCCCGCCGCAACCCCCCAGTTCCTCAGCCAGGTACCGAGAGGGGAGACTCGGCCTGCGGCGGGGCGGGGGTGAGGTGCGCTGGGTGGGGGCTTGGCTTGACGCGGTTTCCATCAGAGTTTGGGTCTATGTCTCTCAGCATCACCCCCACTGTACAAATTGTTCCAGCTCCCCTGTGTGCTGGGGGGGTCGGGGTGCGCTGGGTGTGCGGGGGCAGGGGACGCACTTGGCATTCCGGGGTGCGTGCTGGGGGGGTCGGGGTGCGCTGGGTGTGCGGGGTGCCTGCTGGTGGGGTAGGGGTGAGCGCCGTGTCAGTGTATTGAGGGGTGAGTGTCCATGGCTAGAATCAGGCTGAATATATAGACCTGATATTTGCCAAGTGCTGAAACCTGACATTGATGATCTGTTTTCCAAATGCATTTTAATCAAAATGTGCTTGGGTGATTCCATGTTATCAGACTGCACCAAAATGAGTTTACCAGGAATGGATCTCTTCTTTTTTTCTTTGTTTTTTACTCTAACTTTTCTTGTGTATAGCAGGGAATGCTGCAAATTGATGGTTTATGCACATGGTAATATTTAGAAAAACGGCTGGTTGGGGGAAAGCGAGAAAATACAGGTATTAAAAATTAACTTGCACATGAGCTGTATTTTTTTCTTTGTATTTTTAATGCATACAGCCACATCTTGACAGCTCCGTGCTATAGATTAACATGATCCTATAGGCCCAATTCTTGTTTTCAGTGCTACATGATTGAGCCAAGAAAATGTTATGGTATAGAGAGTACAATGAGGGGTGGGAGTTGGTGCTGAAATATATATTCATATGATTGGCTATAAAGTAAATCTGTTTTTTGTGAGCTAGGGATTTATTTTGGTACTATTTAAAGGTTACTTTTGTTGGAATTAGGGGATACTTCATGAGACCTGTAAACCATAACCTCTAGAATTACTCCCTCCCCAACACATCAACTGGTTCTATGTTGATACTGAAATTGTGAATAAAGCAACCTCTACTTACAATAGTTGTGAACTTCAGAGCATCTTATCACAGAAGTACCAAATGGGAAACAACTTTGTTGGGTTAAGTAGTCAATTGGGCTGTTAACACACAACTGATAACATGTTTTTTTTATTTACAAAGCTCTCCTCAAGGTAACTGTGTAAATAAAGCAATATTTTAAAAAGCCTGGTAGCAATCCCATTAGTGGTACATGCTATACTGCAAGTAGGAAACCTGAGTTTACTTCCCGGTTTCTGCCTCTTCACACAGGGCCTTAAGCCTGGTCTACACTGGGGGGAGGGGATTGATCCAAGATACCCAACTTCAGCTATGAGAATAGGGTTGCTGAATTCAACGTATCTTAGATCGACTTAGAATCACTTACTTCATGTCCTTGCGGCACGGGATCGACGGCTGCCGCTCCCCCGTCGACTTTGCTTCCGCCTCTCGCCGAGCTGGAGTTCAGCAGTCAACAGGAGAGTGATCGGGGATTGATTTATCGCATCTACACTACACGTGATAAATCGATCCCCGATAGATCTATCACTACCCGCCAATCCGGGTAGACGTACCCTTAGTTTGCTAACTGGGAACTCTCAGCTGGGAAACTATGGCCCTGATGCTGTTACAAACATATAGCACCTGTGTAACTGTTGGTAGGATTGGGGCTTTATAGAGGTTTGCTGTCTGTAAAAGATATAACAGCTGTCAGCATTGACAGCTCTCTTTCTGTGTCGGTGGGCTGTATCTACATTGGCCCAGAAACAAGTGAGGCGAGAATGACCGAGTCTCAATTGTTCTTTATCACCAAAAAGTTACTATCTGATTGGAATGTTCCTTATCACAATTGATAATTGTCGGACTCCTGTGTGGATTGAAGTTGGGGGGGGGAACAAATGATTGAATGGGAACAAATGTTTCGTAGCTTGATAGCTTTATGCATTCTTTAGAAATGTATTTTAGATATAGAAGGAACAAAATCTTTATTGCTGAGCAGAGTTACTCTTGAGTAGATATGAACTGACTTGTCAGAATGTAGCTGCTGCTGCAGATTTGAAATTGAAGGTCCCAAGAATGAGATGAGCATGAATTCTCCCTTCTCCCCTGTTCCATGTGGCTTCACAAGACATGTGTTGTTTAAAGGGACACAACGAATGGTAGACTAATCTTTACTCTGCATAGTTTTGGATCTGCAGACCTGTGAGTGTTTCACAGATCAGAAAGCCACTATCATTTTTAGTTAGGTCTGGACTGGGCATTATGTCTGTATATTCTGTAACTTTGACAGTATGTGGACAGAATACTATCAATTGCTTGATGTTTTAAACTTTTTAAACATGATGTTAAAGTTCCCCTTCAGTGTAGGTTAAGAATGTATGTTTTTAATTTAGGAAAGGTGTTATGGGAAAACACGACAGGAAAGGATTGAAAAACCTTGACATACTAAAATGACTTGGTTTGAAGTCATTTTGTAGGTTTGAAATGCTCTGCTTTAGCTCTCATACTTGAGTACGTCACTTGTTGCTCAGTGCCTGTCATTTCCCAAACAACCACTTATGAAACATGGACTTTCCCTTCTTTTCATATTTTTTTTGGACAGCAGCACAGGTTTTTGCCTTGTAATTCAAATGACTCATTCTGCATCATTCTGTAGAGGTTCAAGAGATATTTCACAAAGTTATCTTTTGTTAAATTCTTCTTTAAAAATATGTTCAAACTGCACTGGAAGCTTAAAAAATGAGGGAAGATTAAAACATCCTGGAATAAACATCCGTCAGGTCCCTAGAGTTTCTTGGCAAAGCAAAAGCAGCTAGGAAATCACAAGGCAAAGTAGTTAATAATCTCTGCTGTGTAAAACTAGGATGTAAAAGAAATACAAAACAGTTCTTAATGCGAGGTCAAAAGTTAGATTAAGTTTAGGTCATTTTGGTTTTCATTTAGTTTTTTTATTCTTAATATGGTCCTGATGAGAAGAATACATGAAGTGTGAGAAAGCTGGCTGAAAGCACAATGGGCTGGGTCCTGTTCTGATATACATCGGCAGTAACTGAGTTTAGTTATCTAAATTAATTTTCCCCTGGATGGTTGTTTCTGGATTTTTGAGAATGTGATTTTTACCTTTTGATTATTTATGTTGATTATTTCTTTTGATGTGGCCTACTCACTTGTCAGAAATGTGGCATATATACTTAGTGTGCATACCATTATTTTTCCTGCAGATAATATCTATGTTATTGGGTACTAAAAACATCTGAGATGTTTTTCAAGACAAAAAATAGTTTTTCACTGGTGAGATATTAAGATATTCTCCACTATGTAGACCACATACACATGTTAACATATGCATGCAGGCACCATGTGCTGTTATACTTCAGAGGAAGGGAAAAGGCTTGTTAATAACAACTTATTTAAACCAATAAAATAAATAACTTTTGCAAGTATCTTGTGGCGATAACCTGATATTTGTTCTGAACTTGTGAAAATTTGTGTAATTCTCTGTATCTTTCTGGCATATTTTATTAATTGACTGCTGGATGATGTAATGATGTCCCAACATCTTGGAATTAGGTATGTGATTTTACAACACTTGGTAAAATAATCATAATATGTTATGATTTAATAATGAGAAAGCAGAAATTTAATTCTAGCAATGTAAGTAGGGAAGAGGGGAGAATAAGTGGTGTTACCCAAAGAACCTTACTAATTCACCTCCGTGACTGGGTCACCATTGTGAATTAATAAAATTTGCAAAGTAGGAAGTAAACAAATGTGTACATGCAAAAAGAAAAGCACAGCTAATGCATGGTAATATAATGTCATTTATTTGACAAGTGTAGCATAGTTTTAATTACTTACCCTAAGAAGTACAGTATAAGTGAATGTTTACACTACAGGATTACTCCGAATTTACAGAATTTGATTTTTGGCAACCGATTGTATAAAGTCGAGTGCATTAATTCGGCGGTGTGCGTCCATGTACCGAGGCTAGCGTCGACTTCCGGAGCGTTGCACTGTGGGTAGCTATTCCATAGCTATTCAATAGTTCCCGCAGTCTCCCCCGCCCATTGGAATTCTGGGCTGAGATCCCAATGCCTGATGGAGCCAAAAACATTGTCGCAGGTGGTTCTGGGTACATGCTCCCCCTCCCTCTGGGAAAACAATGGCAGACAACCGTTTCACGCCTTTTTTCCTGGGTGAACTGTGCAGACGCCATAGCACGGCAAGCATGGAGCCTGCTCAGCTCAAGACAGCAGTCATGAACATTGTAAACGCCTTGCGCATTATCGTGCAGTTTATGCTGAACCAGAACCTGTAAAACCAGGCGAGGAGGAGGCGGCGACTGCAGCGCGGCGACGACAGTGATGAGGACATGGTCACAGAATTCTCTCAAACCGCAGGCCCTGGTGCTTTGGAGATCATGTTGTTAATGGGGCAGGTTCTAGCCGTGGAATGCCGATTCTGGGCCTGGGAAACAAGCACAGACTGGTGGGACCAAATAGTGTTGCAGGTGTGGGATGATTCCCAGTGGCTGCGAAACTTTTGTATGCGTAAAGGCACTTTCATGGAACTTTGTGACTTGCTTTCCTCTGCCCTGAAGCGCCAGAATACCAAGATGAGAGCAGCCCTCGCAGTTGAGAAGCGACTGGCGATAGCCCTGTGGAAGCTTGCAACTCCAGACAGCTACCGGTCAGTCGGGAATCAATTTGGAGTGGGCAAATCTACTGTGGGGGCTGCTGTGATGCAAGTAGCCAAAGCAATCGCTGAGCTGCTGCTACCAAAGGTAGTGACTCTGGGAAATGTGCAGGTCATAGTAGATGGCTTTGCTGCAATGGGATTCCCTAACTGTGGTGGGGCGATAGATGGAACCCATATCCCTATCTTGGCACCGGAGCACCAGGGCAGCCAGTACATAAACCGGAAGGGGTACTTTTCAATGGTGCTGCAAGCACTGGTGGATCACAAGGGACGTTTCACCAACATCAACGTGGGATGGCCGGGAAGGGTTCATGACGCTCGCGTCTTCAGGAAC